GACAATCGGGTGGAATGGGTTGATGTTCCCCTCTTCCCCAGCACGACGTACAGTCTTAACCACCATCTGCATTCACCATTTGCGTTCGACACTGCTGCCGTATTGTGATTTTCTGATTGAGAGCTGGCTTTGGGGGCGGGGGGAAGAGAGTTCGTGAAAACAGAGCGAGAGTGAAAAGCGATAAGGGCGTTGATGTTTCCTTTTAGATGCGCGTGTCAGGCGTCAACACGCGTCGTGGCTGCTGTGTGTCGCCCCTTGTTTCTCTATTGATTCTTCAGTTGTTGCTTGCTTGATTGTACTGAAATGCACGCATGTGTGTTGTGTGATGTGTAAGTAATGTTTCGACCTTACGCGACAGCGAGACGGTATCTCGGTGTTGGTCGTGTCTGTGTGTGTGTGTGTGCGTTGAAAACGAAAGTACGCGAGGCATGTTGCTCTGCTCTTCGCAAGTAAAAGGACCGCCAACGTGAATGAAATTGTTGCTGAATGGGCGAGTGAAACCGGCGACAATGCTGCGACTGGCGGCGTGGAGAACCACAAAGCAGAAGAAATGGGGGGGGGGAGTTGGTTGGTTCGCTGAGCGCAGAGAGAACAGATGGGTTGTGGTTTAACGGAAGAACTCGATAGAATGCACGTGGGAGGCGTTGAGGAAATTGATGAAACAACAACCACTTAAACAACAACCACTTCATCAAACAACACTACTGAAACAACAACAACAACTTCATTCAACAACAACTTCATTCAACAACAACTTCATTAAACAACAACAACAACTTAAACAACAACTTAAACAGCAACAACTTAAACAACAACAACAACAGCGACGACGACGACGATGATGTGACTACCAAGGTCTGCGCCAGTGCTCGTCACGAGAGTTGTACAACTCATTGTCGCTGTCGTCCTCATCATGCACACCATCATCGTTGTTGAGGGTATGGTGGTGGCAGCGGTGTAAATGGTGGCTGTTCCGACCACTGTCGTAGAACCGTTTCTCATCGTTATAACGAGTGTCGGCGACAGCCTGGTGGACAGCGGTAGCTGTGTTGCGCACAGACGCAAGCAATCGCCGCTCAAGCACGTGTATGCGTCGCTCAAGCTGTGTTGTCGCGCTCTCCACGCTCTTGGCCGTGTTGTCCTTGATGTCGTGCAGAACACCCTGCCACTCGCCGTGACGCGAGATCCTACCTGCGTGTTCGCGACCAACCAGCCGGTACAGCCACTTTGGGAACAAGTTTGGATCGTCACGCTGCCCGTCGCTCATAAACACTTCTTGCTCAAGCAAGATGCGTGCGCGCAGCAGCTGGAACTCGATGTCTGCATGATCCTTGATGCGCTCGTACGAGTCAGACATGAGCGCAATCAGCAGGTTCAGCAGCACGAGCGGCACCAGCACCGTCGACACCACAAAGAGGACGCGCAGAAACGACCTGTACTCGCCCGAGAGCGCGTCAAGATCAACATCCACCAGGATGAGCGTGGTGAAGGTGAAGAGCAGTCCGTTTGCTTCATCCTGCAGGGCCGTGGACGTGAGAGTTTTGTCGTCACGAAGAAGCGCCTGTGCGGCTATCCAGGCCGCAATGATACTGATGCACAACACCACCAGGAAGTAGCGGATGTCATAACCGATGGCGACTATCATGCGCACGAGCGGGCCTGTGGACTGGAATGCTTGAAGAAAGTACAGCAGGCCGTACCAGCGCATGAACACACACCCAGCCAGCCAGGCGCGAGCATGCTGCCACCCAATCAGGTACGTGGTGCATGTCACAAAGGTGACAATGACATTTCCAGCGTCCACCCAGTTCCACACATCGCGCAGGTATGCGTCCACGTCGTGTCGAAGCTGCAGGGCCTCATACCGCGCGTCCTTCAGGCAAATAAGCAGCAACACCAAGGAAAGAAACACAGACGCTTGCTCTGTGCGCGTGCCGGATACCAACAGCGTGTCAGCGGCCGCACCGTTCAAATTGATGGTGAACACCATGGCGGTTGCACACACCAGGCTGATCAGATACACAAACAACTGCTGCAGAAACTCGCGTTGCCCGCGTCGCTTCCACTTGAACTCAATCAGTGCGCGGGCAATGTCGTTGTCGAACAGGGACGCATCTCCGGTCGCCACCAATGCGCCCAGCAGCCACCTGCTTGCGTACGGCAGTGGTACCACACGCACGTCCCGTGCACGCGCCTTCTTGCGGATGGCATAGTCTTCCGCAGCATACAACGGCTGATTCTGCTCGTTCTCCTGGTGCTGTTGCTGCTGGTGGTGCCCACCGTCGCGACCAGCTCGACAGAAGCTCAGCCAGTGCAGTGCCTGCCCAAACCACGTCCACCACCCATAGCGTTGGTGGGGGGATAGCGTCGTGACTTGGATGGGGTCCTTGCTGCTGTCAAGCACGAACAGATGCTGTGATGGCCAATATGGATCAATCTTGCCATTGCTGTGATCAACTGGCGCTTCGGCCCTGACGAGAACAAGCCCAAGTCCACGCAACAGCTCCCGAGCGACGCCCTTGTGATGCCTGATGCAAGCCATCATGTCATCCACAAAGGGGGCGTGGCACGCCATCTTCAGCGGGCCGGTTTTGCACAGGCCCCAGCATGGCAGAGGCGCTGCGTCGTCGGCCCCTGCCGTGGCGAGGGACGCATCATGTTGAGTCCCCACACCAACGCACGTGTCCAGGCTAGCGAGCGACAGGCGCCAGAAGATGGGCAGCTCGGGTCGTTCCACGCCTGCGTCGCGTGCACGCGCGCCCTGTACCAGCTTCTCTGCCACCACTTTGAGCGTTGCATCGGAGGCGTGGCCTGAGTTGACTGCCACGTGAAACATGTGTTCCACACCGTTGACATCGTCCAGCTCAAGCAGCGGCAGCGCAGGCGTCTCCAGCATCACGCGCAGAATGTCAAGATATCGGTCGTCCTGTGCTGCCCACGCCAACGGCGTCATCATCGCCACAGGCTTCTGCCAGGCTGCCGTTGTAGCAGCAGCAGAATAGTTGTAAGTCATGTAGCCAGACTGGGGTGAATTTCAAGGTGAGACGCGAGGCGAAGACTGAACGGGGATCAGGAGGCGTGTGCGTGTGCTGGCGTCGTTGTTGTTGCTGGTGGGGCCACGCACATTGACAACACCAGTACGGTTGGCAAAGGTCAAGAGCGCACTTGTGCCGCCGACTGGACGGCGGGTGCCCCTGGCATGATGGGATGCAACAGGGACGGGAAAGAGCAGGGTCAGCGGGAACGCAGTGAGGGCGTTGCGAAGCGTACTCAGCCGATTCTCGGGCATGGGATCAAGCCTGTCGTGATCGATGGTGCCACGGAGCACGAAGGTGGGCAGGTGCGGCAGCCCATGGAAGCTGTCTGGGTGCATGAGCTGAGGCAGCGGCCACACGTTCATGTTCTGATCGTGGCTGCCGGATGCAACGTATTCCCCTGATGGCGCCACGCACACAGAAGTGACAATGCTGGTGTGGCCTTTGAGCGACAGGAAACAGCGCGGCGTGGATGTGTCGATGAGCCACACCTTGACGGTGGTGTCCTGGCTCGCGGTGACGAGGAATTTGTCATTGGGCGAGAGAGACAGCGACGTGACGTTGGCTGCGTGCCCCTCCAGAGTCGCCCGGCATGCGATGGTCACCTCCTCGTCCTCTCGCACAGCATCACCATTTCCACCGTCATGATCGTCATCATGATCGTCATCATCATGGACATCACCATTGCCGCTGTGTCGATACACCCGCCACAGCTTGATGGTGTTGTCGTCGCTTCCAGAGACAAATGCCTTGCTTCCATCGGAGAGAAAGAGCAGGGATGAAACGCGGCCGCGGTGTCCATTTCTGGACGCTGGTGGTGGCGAAGACAATGCACCCAGCACCCTGTGCCGTCTGCCACGCTTCTTGCTCATGTTGCTTCCGCTGGCAGGGTTGTTAGTGCTTGGTGCCGTGTTCAGGCGCTCTCGCAGCTCACCATAAGGCGCCATGCTGTCGCTGTCGCTATTTTTGGGGTCGTTCTGCTGCTGCTGCTGCTGCTGCTGCTGCTGCTGCTGCTGCTGTTGTTGTTGTTGTTGTTGGTGGTGGTGGTGGAATTGAGGGGGGAATGACCAAGAGAAGATGCGCAGGCTAACGTCGCCGCAGCCGACAGCAATGAGGGTTTCATCGGGTGAAATGGCAATGCAGTTGACCTTCTGCAGTGCTGGCAGCTCGTGGCGTGCGAGTCGCTGTCCCGTGTCGATATCCCAAACAGAGAGGGTGGGGCAGAGGTTCCCGGACTCAGTGCCGCGGTCGCCCGTCACCACCAGCCGCGATGACACAGCCATAGCACGCATCTCTGCAGCGTGATGGGCGTCATTCGTGTCACGTTCGGTGGTGAATGCGCAAAGTGGGCCAAACAAGCGCTGCGCTGCAGGCGCGTCATGCAGGTGTTGCTCTTGCTGCTCTTGCTGCTGCTGCTGCTGCTGCTGCTGCTGCTGTTGGTGGTGGTCTGGAGAAGGTGAGTGGAGGCGGTGTGCAACGAAGATTTGTCCAGATTCGTGTCCGGCAAAGAGTCGCTGTCCATCACACGAGTAGCGCACGCACGTGAACTTGCCCTCGCTCAAAGCAGGGCATGTCAGCTCCTCCAACACCGCATGCGATGACATCGTGCTCATGGTTGAGTGCTGTGCTGTACCAGTTTCGGCCTTGTGCTCCGCTTCCCACGCGTGTATCGGCTGTGCTGGAAGCTGCGTCTCTTGCACCGCATATGCGTGTGTATCGCGAGCACCGTGATCAGCATCCTGAAGGCGGCTGTCGTGGCCAGTGTGCGCGTGCGTTCTTCGAGAGTATGTTGCTTGGGTGGCGGTATCATCCAAGCCAGCACCCTGCGTGCAGACTTTGCCATTGCTGACTGTGGGTTTCGATGCAGCGTAGAGTTGCAAGCGGGCAGCTGCGTCCATATGACGAACGAGGATGTTGTTGCCGCAGCACATGGCGACGTGCTGGCTGTCGGGTGACACAACCACACTTGCCAGGCGCCCGGAATGGTGTGTTGACATGGCTTCTGTGGTCAAGTGCTGGTCCCACATACGGATGCAGCCGCTGATGCTCCCAGAGATGAAGTAGCGGTCATCGTGAGGACACACAACGAGGGCGGGCGTGTTGACTGTCTCGGCGGTGAGCGTGGCGAGGCAGTCTTGTGTCTCCACGATCCAGATTTTGATTTCGCCATCCCAGGACCCGGAAATGATTCGGGTCAACCCCTTGCTCTCCCGCGACAAGCCAATAGCGTTGACCCAGCTGGTGTGCCCACGCAGTGTCGCAGCACATCTGCCGTACCGCAATGACTGTGCTTGTTGTTGTTGTTGTTGTTGTTGTTGTTTTTGTTGTTCGTGATTGTCGCGCTGGTCATGTTGGGAGGTGGATGGTGGTGGGGGCGTCAAGGTGCGTACGTCCATCGAAGATTGCGTGCGGGACGACGGTGCCGTGGCGGCGGTGGATGCGAGCGGGGTGACTTTGAAGGTGGGCGAGTCAACCTCAAGGAATACATTCCATACTTTGATGGTCTTGTCTCCGCTGCCAGAGACAAGCCATCGCCCATCCTGCGAGACCTCCAGCGCATTGAGCCAACCCGTGTGTCCAGTGAAGTGGACAGTGCTGTGTTCGCCCACGCCTGTTGGATCAGACCCCAATTTCCACAACTCGATCTCGTTTTGCTTGTTGCCGACGAAGAGATTCTGGTACGTCGGATCATATGCCATGCAGCGAACTCCAGCCTTTGCGTGGAGGACGTGAGGCGTTTCGTCGATTGTCAACTGTTCGCCGTGGACTGCAGGTGGTGTGCATTTCCAGATGCGCACGTGCTTGTCTGTGCAGCCGCAGGCGACGAAGAATGTACCCGCTTGTGCCTCGCCCAAAGACACATCGGTGGCTGGCCACGCCAATACAGAGCGCACCTTCCCCACAGCATCGAGAACGATTGGCGTGTGATCCACACGGATGTCCGTTTGACGGGCACCATGTGGGGTGTCCGACGCACTGCTCGTGGGCGAAGCAGTCACAAGAAGCGCCCGCGACCCGGCGTGTCTTTCTTGATTTGGGGAAGCCCGTGTTCGATGCAGCCGCCACAACTTGACCTTCTTGTCATCAACGCCACCAGAGACGATGAACTCGTCGTTTGGCGACATGCACAGGGCACGCACAGTGGTGTTATTGCCGTGTGCGTTTCGGATGGTGTGCACTGGGCCCACGGTGCCGACAGGGGCACACAAATCCCACACCTCGATGTGCCCACCGTCTCCAGATGCTGCCAACACGTTGCTGTCTGACGTTATAGCGAGCGCACGGATGCTCATTGCTTCGCTGTGCTTGTTTGCAGCGGTGTGTCCGGAGGAGGCGGAGGAGGACAGGGGTGCCTCCTGCTGCAATGTTGTTCTTTGCAACGCCTCCTCGGACGGCACCACTGTAGGGGAGCGCCCAAGGCGGTGAGCAACGTTGTCAGAGCCCGTGTGACGTTGACGGAGGATCCCGGCTCGCAGCCTCAGTGCAGGTGGCTGTCCCCCGTATGCAGCCATCGTGCTTCATGGGCTGCAACCGGAAGGACTGAAGGAGGGAGGGGGAGGGTGTGACAGTGGCAGTGTCCGGTTGACGTGAAGAAGACAGACGGACGGCGGACGGTGGCAGCGGTGCGGGAAACTACAACACGGCTGCAACAGCATAAATTGCATGAAAGTTGGTTCGAGCCAACACCAACAACAAACACCAACAACAACAGCAGCTACAATGCCGCCACCACGACCACCGCCGCGGCCGCCTCCGCCGTCGAGCAAGCCCAAGCTGAAGCCTTCATGCGCACAGGCAGCCAGTGAGGATTGCAACGATGGTGCAGGCCCCTCCACCACCTCTTCCACATCACCACCACCGCCACCACAACCGTTGACGTCCCAGCAGGCCCGCCCCGTCAGCAATTCACAGCGAACACCGCCCTATGATCCCGTCGCTGCATTCTGTTTCCCTCAAGCACCAGAAGGTGTGTGTGTGTGTGTGTGTGTGTGTGTGTGTGTGTGTGTGATGTGGTGTGCGTGTGATGTGCGTGTGTGTACTTGTGTGTGATGTGCGTATGTATGTGTGTGTGTGTGTGATGTGCGTATGTACGTGTGTGTGATTGCGCACACATGCACAGCACTCCCACGTACAGCGCCAATGTTTGTGTGTTGTTGTTGTTGATGATGATGATAATGTTCAAT